GTAAAACACCAAAAACAAATGCGTTGTAAGTTCTTTACAGTACGGTACAGTTTATTGTGGAACAGGCTGCCAATGCCTATCCGTAATTGTGATACGTTTATCAGATTCAAAAGGCTAATAACCCTATTTCTAGACTCCAAAGAGCTTCAACATTTCCTTGAACTCCCGCCCACCAATGAGGCACTTTATTACGGACCGCCTAGTATCTAGAAAGAACAAAATTATAACAAGTCCGACTGTTACTAATATGAATATAACCAAATCACAGAACATATGGCTTATCCTTTCTATTATTAATTGTTTATTAATCATGACTTCATGCTCCTAACCCTAGCTTTCAGTTCCCAAATCTCTACAGGTTAAATGTACATTATTCTTCCTAAAAGTCATGCCTTTTTTTTATTCCACTGCAAGTAGACAGATAGCTCAATCTTATGAATGCTGATCTACTAAGGCCTACCATTCAAAGTTCAAAATTTGGCCACAACGTCTTGTGAGTTTCTCAATGTTTTATTTGTCTTACCCTGAAATTTTTTTTTCTACGATTTTATACCCTCTCATATCTTTTGATTTGCTATTAGTCCTTACTTCTTTAAACCATTAGTTATTTTCATAGCAGTGTGATATACTATGTGGACATCTAACCCATAAAACAAGTTTTTTAACTATCTGATTTGCTTGTAACATGGACCTAGTAGAGACAGTGTATTCCAACTATGGGCTTTGATTAAAGCAGTATTCATACTTACCACAAACGTAAGAGAGCCTAACATCACAAAAGGAGGGAGGGTGGCGTTACTGACCAGCAAACATGAAGGTGGGGAGATAACTTCAATCCACCCATGTCTGTAGGGCAGAACATTTTGTTTAATTACGGCTCCTTATGGTTTAGTGGGATGTCACGAACTTATGGTATAGAAGCTGATTTATCACGCAAAATACCTCTTTAAGTCGTGTTACGAACGTTGAATTGGTTTCACTTCCTACCTAGAAATCCTATTACAAGCAAACTAGACAATTCGCTAATATACGAAGCCTAATCAAGACCCTATAATAACTGGGGAAAAATATTTTAAAAAAAAACGAAAGAGGCTCTAATAGCTTCGATATTAAAGGGAAGACAGTCAAATGTATATCACGATACTGTTTCTAGCACTATATTTTATTTTATAATCACACATAATCTTATACTCTCAGCTCTTTTCCGAATCGCCCCCATTTGTCAGTTGTATGTCCACTCACACCTTGTCAACACTTATTTTCTATAACCTATTGAAATGCTCTTTCTTAACATATACCTTAATAAAGGAAAATTAGACTGAGTAATCATACCTTAAACATTCTTTCATGAATATTGGCTACTCTGCCTCTCGTGTTTTCTTTTACTTGCTCCCTCTTTCAGCCCCCTTGAGATATGGAACTGGTGACTTCATCCTGCACCATCCTTAAAGCCTTGGATATCCCAGAAGGATATAAGGTTGCGATTTTTAGAAGCCCATACCTTCAATGGACCTATTCTTGACCATCAGTCGCACATTCGCAACGCGACTTTCATGAAGCGCGCCAACTGTAGTACTGATTTAAACCATCGACATTCATATCTTATAAATTATCAACCCAGCTATGTAATTTATTGCAGTGTATATTGTATCATTTGTATCAATTTGATCTTGCCTGTAAACTGGCATGCCTCATGTAACAAACTGTTATTTGAGAATAAATTATTATTATTATTATTATTATTATTATTATAACATTTTGTTTAATTACGGCTCCTTATGGTTTAGTGGGATGCAACGAACTTATGGTATTGAAGCTGATCTATTCACGCAAAATACCTCTTTAAGTCGTGTTACGAACGTTGAATTGGTTTCACTTCCTACCTAGAAATCCTATTACAAGCAAACTAGACAATTCGCTAATATACGAAGCCTAATCAAGACCCTATAATAACTGGGGGGAAAATATTTTTGAAAAAAAACGAAAGAGGCTCTAATAGCTTCGATATTAAGGGGAAGACAGCCAAATGTATATCACAATACTGTTTCTAGCACTATATTTTATTTTATAATCACACATAATCTTATACTCTCAGCTCTTTTCCGAATCGCCCCCATTTGTCAGTTGTATGTCCACTCACACCTTGTCAACACTTATTTTCTTTAACCTATTAAAATGCTCTTTCTTAACATATACCTTAATAAAGGAAAATTAGACTGAGTAATCATACCTTAAACATTCTTTCATGAATATTGGCTACTCTGCCTCTCGTGTTTTCTTTTACTTGCTCCCTCTTTCAGCCCCCTTGAGATATGGAACTGGTGACTTCATCCTGCACCATCCTTAAAGCCTTGGATATCCCAGAAGGATATAAGGTTGCGATTAGAAGCCCATACCTTCAATGGACCTATTCTTGACCATCAGTCGCACATTCGCAACGCAACTTTCATGAAGCGCGCCAACTGTGGTACTGATTTAAGCCATCGACATTCATATCTTATAAATTATCAACCCAGCTATGTAATTTATTGCAGTGTATATTGTATCATTTGTATCAATTTGATCTTGCCTGTAAACTGGCATGCCTCATGTAACAAACTGTTATTTGAGAATAAATTATTATTATTATTATTATTATTATTATTATTATTATTATAATCAACCTGATGACTGTGGTGGACAGATGGACAAACATTCTTGATCGCAAGAAGAAGGCTGACATCATTTAACTCGATTTCTCATAAGCTTTTGATGAGGTTAACCATACATGTCTTATCAATAAGCTCAAACGATTGGGTATCAGACCACTTCACTTCATATATAAAAAATCGACATTTTAAGATCAGGGTTAACTTCATTTTATCTCAGTCTATGGAGCGTCTTAGTGGGTTCCCCCAGGGCTCAGTACTAGGATCTTTTCCCTTCTTGATTTATATAAATGATCTTTTTCAACAGGTGACCTTAGAATTACTACTTTTTGCCGATGACGTGAAACTTTTGGGAGATGTATGCAACCAAGACGATATACAGGCACTTTAGGAGGATCTGACTCCACTTTAAAGTTGGGCAGACGATAACGGACTTACTTTTAACACTTCAAAGTGTAAAGCAGTCCATCTGCGACATGTCGCAGACTACAGTTATAACTTAAGAAACTCCTCTCTAGTAGTATCTCGAGTCGAAAAAGAATTAGGAGTACCGGTACCCTACGGCTTAAAGTCCTACGCTAACTGTGACAGAAATGTCTTTCGAGTAAACCTTGCACTGATAACATTAAGCGCATTCTTGGCCTGTTTGACGGAAGATATTTCCACATAATCTTCAGTAGTTTTATTCATCCCCATTTAAAGTACGGAAACAGTATTTCCACCTCATTTCAAAAAGATATAGACACTCTGGAGCGTATCAAACGGCAAGCCACGAAATCAGTTCGGGGACTCAAATTCAAACCTTATGGAGAGCGCCTCCAATCACTTAACCTTTACCTATTAGAGTACAGGCGTCTTAGAGACCTTCTAATGGCTTACAGTATCCTTAACACTTCTGGACATCCTCTTAAACACCTACTTAAGCTTAGTCCCAATACAAGCTTAAGGGGTAACACGAAGAAATTGCAGATGCAACATACCAGAACGGACTGTAGACAAAACTTCTAATCCTTGAGAGTTGTTAAATGCTGGTATCCGCTGCCAACTGAACTAGTCCAAGAGACTTTCCAGGAGTCCTTTAAGGGGAAACTTGAGCTATTCTTAAGGTCTAAGGATACCATCTCAATATGAGTTAACGATTTCCTTTTTTAAAAATCTATTATACTTAGGTGCCTGCCTGGCGGTATTGGTGACCCCCTGATACTAGACACAGAAGCCTGTTAAGCGAGGGCTTCTTCTATTCTGTCTGAACTATCTGAAGCATTTGAGCAGTAACATCTGGTTTTTCTTTATCCACCAATTTCTTGAGCTCCGCCTTTTTATTTAGTGGGCTGCTAGCATATGTGTAGCACACCTCTAATTCTGTGAAGGACTATCCCTTACCACCCAGAGTGGTTTGGGGATCGTTTTGCTCTGAACTTTAACAATTTGAAAACCCCTAAGAACAAGGTTTCTGTCACCGTTTCGGCGGCGCTCATTTATTTCCACTTAGCAGCTCGTCTCTTAATACAATCAAATAGACTGAGATTCTCAAGGACGTATATTCCGGATCCAATCAGTTTGCATAAGTTTCCCAGTATCAGGTTTCTTTCTTCAATCGCAGCAAAAGTAACCTGCAAGAGGAGGCTTTTTTGAGTACTTCCAGAATGCATCTTTGTCCTATTTTCTACAGCTTACAGATGCTAACTCCTAAAATTGTTTCTGGGAGTAGCTTGCTTATCAAGATCTAATATGACTGAGGCCATGCTCAAATCTAGCCCTTAACTTCTTATCGGAAGACTTAAGGGCAATCTTCTAACTATGTTCAGAAGCTCAATCACCACTAGAATCATCAGAGAACTTGTAGAACAACGTTCTTCAAACAACCGACATGGCAGTGGCTTGCAGCACCGTTTGTATCCAGCCGGTAGGAGTCTGGTAAGCACTTATTGCACTTATCACATCGCATCCCATCATCGACAGGGAGATAGCATGAAGGTCGTCCACAACTATGTTTCACTTGCGCCATAAATTTGTTTTATGCCTGTATATAAATAAATGTGTCTAAAAACAATAAAAAATTCGACTTAAGTAGTTGCAAAAAGACCTTGAAACCTATGGATACAAACAATACTCATAGGTATACTCAACAATGAAGAATAAATAGCAGTGCCTTTGGTTTTTTTGTATATGAACTCAAAAGTACAGATGACAAAGTGCTCTAGAAAAAATCTATACTTTTTGGAAATCGCTTTAACTTAAATAAATAAAAATCAAGCAAAACAGTAATCTTGATGCGTAATTAAACGAACAACATTATAAAATATTGTCAGAGTTGAAATACCACCGTTCTTTTTTAAATAACGCGCAATAGTAAAGATAGGAGTCCATTTTAAACCATCTGCACATAAATTTCATCAAAATTGTGACTTTTTACTGCTGCTTAATGTAAAGCTGATTTGGTAAAGTTTCTTTTATTCCACTCACGACTCATTGGACACATATCTTTCGATCGCGAAAAAGAAACTGTATGCTACAACATGTGGTTCTGAGGTGCCCTAAGCAAAATCGGTTTTTCAAGCATCTCTCATCAAGTTTAACTGTCAAACAAGATGGACGACGAAATGAGCGAATATCTAAACAAAGTAATTGTTAACTTGTTTCATTTGGTTCCATTGGTTTCTCATGTTGATATATATGACCAAATTTCGGCGACCTATAAACTATCACAAACCATTTAGAAAGTGCTTGGACAATGTAGGCTGTATATTGGACGAGTACTTACTTAATTATTATACTGAATTTTCTTCCATCCTCGTTACTTTTAGTGCGTCTCCGTTTACAGCACACATAATGTAAATGAAAGTGATATAGTAAAGTTTTTAAGGTTTTACGGCAACTTAATTATTCAGCCTAAGGCTGGATGCCTTTTATCAAAGCAAACGAATCAAACAGGTAGTCTCCGGATCTTCCCACTGAATCACACTTCGTGGTTCAACTGGTAATAAGTTACCTTTTGCATACATCAGTTTTGACACATTTTGTTGATGGCGTTTGCCAAATACATCGATTTATTTCAAAACTCTGTAGCATGTGTTATAATGTGACTCAACCGGTCTCACGGAAGCGGCTGGACGCAAAAACCGGTAAAATGAGTTGAGATATATGGTAATTCATATAAACACAATGGAGCAGAAGAACAAAGCACAGATATGCTAGGGTATTTCTATTTTCTAGTATGTTAATTTGGGCACTCGATTGAAGATTATATCACATTTGTTGATCGTAAATCATTCGCCGAGCGATATATTTGATAATCCCATCGTATGTGGGGATTTTTATTTATTTATTTGAATACATAAATATTGGTACAAAGGGGCACCAAATGCATATACACCACACAAGTCACTTGTTTTCTGTGTGGGCTGTGATACTGTTCGGGTGCTCAAACCGAAGCGGGTGGTTTTCTTAGGGGGCCACACCCGGAGCCTTCGACCTGAAGGTCTGATCCATAAGGCAGTGGAACAACATAAGGAGATTCAGTCCCGTGATAGACAGTGACCAACAAAAGTTCATAGATCATTTGTTCCTCCAGGATCCTGGAGACCATGTGCACCATTGGTTTGGAATCAGGGTTTTCCAACTCCCCTAAGTTGGTCCTCCATATCCACCAACCCGGTTGAAGCGCCCCAGAAATTCGCTTCTTGTCCTCTCAATTTCGCAAACAACACCCGTGGTGCGAGAAGGTAGTGATTAGGACTTCCCTATCTCTCAGTCACTTGACTTACAATCATTAGATCGCAGATTAAGGTTGAGTTTTATGTGCACCATCCTGGGCAACTGATGAAGGTAATCTGGCTCAAAATCGGTCACCTAGACCTTGACCTGGTAAATGGGCAATATTTAATTTAGATGAATAATAGTTCAAGATTAATTACGTGTTTGACAAAACTTAAATTTACTACACATTTTCAACGTTATATCTCTCCGTTCTTATTATGTCTACCTAAAAGCTGATACCATTACCTTAGTATTCTTTGTTAATGTTCTTTTCTCAATGCAATGAACTGTACGTTATTATCGATGTAACTGATTGTCCATATTTCTTTTATCACTTTATTTCATAGTTTATTCATTTTAATCAGTCAGTCATAATACACTGCAATTATACTTGCCCCACTATCCTCGTTTGTTTGTAGATGCAAATCAAAGAAACATCTGAATTGTATGTTCGATGCAGTACAATATGTTTCGATCGATGTGTTAGCAATTTTACTTCACGCAAATTAAATGATAAGGAGGTATGGTTTCATTTCATATCGAGGGTAATTCTCTCTTTTTCTTTTTACCTTATAGACCGAATGCGTCAATAAATGTACAGAAAAATTCGCCAAAATGAACCAACGTTTAACACTTAGACTATTTGAGTTGAATCGTGAAGAATTAGTTAAACAGTGAAACAAAATCAAATATTCACCTCAGTAGCTGTACATAAATTTGTTGACCTCGTTTTAGAGTTTTATCTTGTTGAATAAAACTTCGAGTTTTGTATCAGACTTTTTGTAAATATTTGTACAGGTTTCTGATCCTCCGATAAGAGTAGAAGATATTCGTAGGTTACTGGTATTCGATCACAGGTGTCTTCGAAGCATTGTACGCTGCTGAGGAATCTCATACTTGGACAAAACGGCCGTCCGGTGCTTCCAGATTTTCAATGCTGGTGACTATTAAACTCAGATTTAAAAATACTACCATCTCCATACTGATAATTATACGTTTTTTGTTCAATAATTATGCAAACTAAGTTCATAAAAACGTACTCTACCCGAAATACTTCCTCTTTGGCAAAACTCATGCATCGAGTAAGTAATGCAGTTGTTAGAAAACTGGTACTAGGTAAGGATGGTAAATCAAATGGTGAATTAGTGGAACTTTATCAATTAAGATGGCTGCTACATGTGTTACGTATGCCCAACCATCGACTGCCCCGACGTGCGATGTTTTATGGTGTAGGAGTAGGTTGGAAGAAATCTAGGGACGGTCAGACCAAAACATGACACAAATCCATGAAGTCACTGACAAATGGACTGAGCCATGTTAGTAGGTGTAGACTATCTGTTTGGAATCCGCGAGATGATAGCAACAGATGGTTAGAGACCTTGAGTGGCGTGACTCAAAATTGTTTGCAATGGTGCAGGTGCATCCTTTCTTTGTGTTCTCCCAAATTCTAAGTTTCTGAATTTTTCTTACCAAATTTATTTCACTGGATTGCACTTCTTGAATAACATCTTCAAACCGTAGTCTTTCCGATTGTTGCCCCCAAATGCCCTGGTACGGCCGAGAGTGGGGAGAGTCCGCTCTCCCTCTCGAAATACTGTCACACGGCCACGCGTATATAGCCTCTGCCAGGGAAGTCCTACTCACTGCCTTCTCGTGGCGGGGGTGTTGTTTACGAAAATGAGAGGACGAAAATCGAATGTCCGGCACTTTAACCGGATTCCAAACCAAATCAGTGGTGCACATGGGCTCCAGTATCCTGCGGGAACAAATGGCGAATGAACCAATTGTTGGTCACCGGCTTCCATGGGACTGCATCTCCTTACGATGCTCCACTGCCTTGTGGATCAGACCTTTGGGTCGAAGGCTCGGGGTGTGGCCACCTAAGAAAACCACCTGCTTCGGTTTGGGCACCCGGGCAGTATCACAGCCCTCACACATATCGGATGAGATTTGTGTGGCGCATATGTATTTGGTGCCTCTTTGTACCATTATCTATGTGTTGAAATAAATAAAGTCTTTCCGATTACTGCCCATACTTTTACTACCTCTACCATTTTGGGATTCGAATCAACAGTTGTTTCTCTGTAATAATGTGGTATGGCAACTCCAATCGATGTACGTACGTATGAATTTCTACGTTGTTGCTTACTGATTGACTGAGTCTTCCCCACAAGTTATGTGATATAGCTGCCAGAAATATAGCGCTTGAGTTTCCGGTTGTTTGTGTTTTATTAGCTTTCTAGCCTATTTATTATGTAATTTGATTATTGGGTTTCTTTTTACTAAAGTCCTCCAGGTTAAATCCTCCGATATCATTAGGTCGCTGTGATTTTAAAACCAGGAACTAGTGGAATTGACATAAACGATGTATCGAAGATTTAAAAAGCAATTATATCGTCTCAAATTTTTACAAAGCATGACGCAATGTTTCAGTTAACAAAATTTCATGTTAAATAAAACCGTGAGGCGTCTGATTTTTCATGAGATATTGCAATATACAAGATTTTAATTTGCGTCACCTAAATGTGATTTTTGGTGTCAGTACATGAACGTAATTAATTTTACATCTACCTGGATTGGAATGGTATTGCGTTGGAAATCTTCTAAAATAGACTTACTGGGTTGTCTTATGTGTTACGATCAAGGATCTCACAAACAGTCAGTCATAACCTGACGCAAATGCCCTTCGTTCTAAGTTGTCACATTACATCAGTACACCAAAGGATTTGAAATATTAGTAGTATCAATGATAGTAAATAATATCAAACCTAGAAAATATGGTTCATGAAGAAGGAATAAATTCAAGTAGTAAAATGCATGCAATAATATTAAAACTGATGATCTAGATGAAAACAAAGGATGAATGCTTCACTGAGGCTAATTCTTAGTAATATCACTCAATGTCTCCATCTAGGGCTAAAACCCTCGAATTTCAATCAATAAGCTCTAACCCTGTTCTTCCTCATTCTTACAATTCTCAATATGCTAAGACAGTGTGGATGAGAACTGAATACATTAACATTCATTTGGTAAATGAATTGTCTTGCGTACAAATTATACCTCAACTACTGACTGAAATGTTTTGATCAGGCTGTGTGCACTATTTCAGTGATTATAATGTTTACTGGATAGTATTCGTTGAAGCATTTAGCTTCACATTTCAATAAAATAAAGCTGTACATCTATCTTGCCAATAATCGCAGAAAAGTGAAAAGTTTATATCGTATGTCAAATATGCGTTGATGTATATAGTATTATTATCCAATAAGTTGTGAGTCTACTGTTTTCTTTATCCATCCGATAATTATAAAACAGTAAACTCAAATTTAATATATGTAGTGACAGTATTTCCCTCATTTTATCACAGGAAAGACTTTTGAGAACAAAATATACAATATTACAACAAATTGCAGTCTTATGCCCATTCCAGTTGGGAATTTCCGAAATAATATATATAATGATGTTTCTCAACAGTGGTAGTCTGTTATTCGCAAATTTTTCAACCTAACCTAACTTCAATGGCGAATTTGTCTTCGCATTACATATTAAAGGCACAAACACCAATGTAATCCTCTATCGCTCCTCTTAAGGACAAATATATTAGTTATATCCATCATAGAACCTGGAACATATATTCACAGGTCTAATTTATCACAGTATATTAGCTTAACGAGATGTAACTACTAATATTAATTCAAGAGTAGTAGAATTAAGGGATAGACATGTAGGAGTGTGTGCTGACCATCGTAGTGGCGGTGTTTGCGTTTAAATTTTACAGTTATCAGCTTCACGATATGTTCTAGGCATTTTATATGAGTACATCATTCGCTAAATATGTTTAATCACTTAAAAGATAAGCGATGTGTAAATACAAATGAATTGTCAAACTTACTATCTACACTATCCCCAAACTAATTATCGTATTCAATGGTCTCGTTAAATTAAATAAATTTATATGAGTTATACTTGGTTGGGGTCCGCGTGACTATCTTAACCAATGGTTGGAGATTTTGAGCGAAATGGCTCAGAATCGATCGCCATGGGGTAGGTGTATACACTCTTGTCTTCTTTTAAGCCGTGAGATTAAAGTCGTTTCATCTTTCTTTCTACGAACTAATTCTTTCTTCCTGTACCATATCTTTATATGCAATCTTTCCTTTATATATTACCACCATTGAATTAACTACTTTTATGAATCCGGTGTTCATCTTGTTGTGTTAATGAGGTATGGCAACTTGGACTGATGCATATATGTCCCTTATCCTATGTTGTAGCTGACTGACTGATGACTAATATGAGCATGATCACCACCGTACCTTTGAATATTATTTATTTATTTTAACACATATGTATTGGTACAAGGAGGCACCAAATACATATGCGCCACATAAATCTCATTTGATACATTAGAGAGCTGTGATACTGCCCGGGTGCCCAAATAGAAGCAGGTGGTCTTCTTAGGGGGCCGAACCCGGAGCCTTCGACATGAAGGTCTGATCCATAAGGCAGTGGACCAACGTAAGAAGATGCAGTCACATGATAGCCGGTGACCAACGATTGGTTCATACGCCATTTGTTTCTTTAGGATCCTGGAGCCCATGTGCACCATTGGTTTGGAATCAGGGTTTTCCAACTCATGTATATGGACTCTCCATATCCACCAACCCGATTAAAGCGACGGAATTCACTTTTCATCTTCTTAATTTCGTAAACAACACACTCGCCACGAGAAAGCAGTGATTAGGACTTTTGAATACACATAACCTGTAAACATTTTAAACACATGCATATTTACAGACATAAACTTTAGACAAAAGGCTGTTTATTCCAAAACTATTAATATGTTTATAATATTCAATAAGCTATATTTCTAATGTATAAACCTCTGAAATGATGATCAACTATTATGTATATACTATTTCACTAAACATATAGTTGTATTGTCATTAAAATGGTACATTTTAATATGTATTCATATTTCTAATGTATTTAATGTTGCATAGAATCTTATCATCATTACTGTTCGATAAATCTGTCATCAATCATAAATGTTATTTAATAATATACAATAAGAGTTCACTGAAATTGAATGACTATTTTCATAAATTTAATATTAAACATGTTTTTATTATGTATTCTAGTAGATGAGTAAGATTTTGAATATTAGTTGCTAGTGAAATGTTGCTGAGGAGTCCCACAGTAAGACGAAACGACCGTTCAGTGTTTTCAGGTTTTCAATAATGTTCTAACGTCAATCGGTTCATGATCTCAATCCCTACAACCCTATACTGATAATTACCATGTACTCACTAGTGAATTGTTTCATGAGGGAATTCTCAGAGTTCTAATAAGAAACAGTGACCGGTGGAGTTAATCCATATTGAATAGAAAAATATATCTACCTCAGAACAACGGAAGATAGTCGCGCGATTTCGTGGGTTGATTGAGGTTAGACATTTACACCGTTGGATACCGTTTAAGTGTTCTCACGCGAGACTGGAGGCCCTGGGTTCGAATCTCGCTCGCGAGATCATGGATGTGCACTGTTGAGGAGTCCAACAATATGATAAAACGGCCTTCCAGTACTTCCAGGTTTTTGAATGATGGTCTAACATCAATCGGTTCATGATCTCAATCAAAAACTTAATGATCTCTACAACCGTTTACTGATAAATACTGAAAGCTAGTCTATTCTTATAGTGCATTAAAATGTTTTAGACATAGTACTGGAATTTCTAAGTGTATAGCATAAAATGTTTGTTTGGTTTT